GGGGCTCTGTCAGTGGGCGTTAGCGGGCTGTAGGCGGATGGGGGAGGGGAGGTGGGTATCGGGGATGGGTGGGCGGAGCTAAGGTGGGCCAGCCGCCTCGCTTCCCTAGGAGCACAGCCCCACAGCGGATGAAGGCTGGCTTGCTCCTGGGGCTGGGTAGGGCGATGCCCTTACGACTCCGGAACATTCCCTTCCGCTGGGCCTCGGGTCCGAGTCAAAGGCCGTGGAGCTGGGTAAGGCGGGCACGTGGGCCAGACCAGATCTGAGGGCGAATCTGGTACTAACCTGCAGGAGGGCCGCCCATTCTTCGGTCACCCAACCAAAATCTCGGGTATCTTGAAGGGCTGCCGCACCCCACCATGTACAGTGAGTGACCTGTGGAATCCTGAAACCAAGTCCTGCCCAGGGTGACAGGCCCTGCGCTCCCCGCGCATCCCTGTGGCTATGTCTAGGCCTCTGTGCTGCCTATTTGGTTTAGAACTAGTCTGAGAGTTCAGATTCTGGGGTTCCCATAGATTCTCCTAGGGTGCCTGAGCTCACTGACCCGGGACCACAGCGTCCAGTGCACACCCCAGGTCTCTCGCTTGCCAGCGGGTTATTGGGTCCCAGCCTCACTGCCTGCACAGGGAGGTTGCCTCAAGCGTCCCTATGGCCAGTGGAGTTTATTAGTTGTCATGTAGTGCTGAGAGCATGGCTTCTTAGCTGCACTCAGTGGGCTGGGTGGCAACCCCAGATGGTGCGCTTCCACCCAAAGGCGCAGGCAGACGCTTCAGGAGGAGCAGTGGGGTCTGGTTGCATAGGCGTGGTAAGGTGGTAGGGACTTGCTTCTGAGGGCAGTGCGTGGTATCCCTGTCCGAAGGGACAGATGACAGTCACCACAATGCAGCACCTCACACCCTGCTTGGCTTTGGTGACAAGCTTGTATAGTCAGCATTACTGTCAGTTCAAAGACATGCTTTTCACATTTTCTCATACTCTTGTGCTGAGATGACTCTTTGGTGGGTCTATGAGAAGGCATCTTTTTTTTTCTTCACGAAGTTTATTGGTACATTTTAGGTATACAGTATAGTTACATTCACCATTGGGATCTTGTACCTTTTTGTTTTTGGTTGAGACAGGGCCTCACTATGTAGTGAGACTGACCTGGAGCTATGTAGCTCAGGCTGGTTTTGAACTCATAGTGATCCTCCTGCCTCAGCCCCACAAGGGCTGGGATTACAGGCGTGCACCACCATGCCTGGCTAGGGATCTTGTATCTTTACATGATGTATTTTGGTTTTTATCCCTCCCCCCCGTACCCCTCCCCTCCTTTCACCCTTCCCTATTTACAGACTTTGTTTCCATTTTTTTCTTTTCTTTTTTAAAAAAAAAATTTGTTTTTTTGAGACAGGGTCTCACTATGTAGCCCAGTCTGGTCTCGAACTCAGTGATCCTCCTGCCTCACCCTCCCGAGTGCTGGGATTATAGGCATGTGCCATTATGCCTGGCTGATTTTTTCTTTTTCTATGAGAAAGCATCTTAGTTTAATTTTTAGTGGTGCCTTGTGCATCCTGCTCTCGGTGCCACCCTGGCATGCTGGAATAAGGTAGGTGGAGCTATTTAACACCATAGAATGTTGAGATAAACGGTACTGTCTCTGACCCTTGAAGACTTTTGGATTTAATGGATCCCTTCTGTTTCAGGTGGTTTCTTTTAAATGGCTCACACGATTAAATGAGTTCAAGGTCTTTCTTGCCTGAAGCAAATAATTGAATGAGACAAGCCAAAAACAGTGCCAAAAGTTTATTTGAAAAGTAAAAGGTGAAGGGGTAAGGGGAAAACTGGCTCTACAGAGCAAACTTGGCCCAAGCAAGAGGAAAGGTGAAAAAGAGCAAAAATAAAAGTATGCCCTGGTCTAGAAAACACAGAGTGGGCTACTGTGAGGAGTCACCACAGCAGGCGCTATGTTGCTGGCGTCTGTGTCCTTTTGTGTTGTCCATGTCTCATGGGAGCAGCAAGAAGTTACACATATGGGGTGCTGGGGATTACTTGGCACTGTCTTGGATTTTGTAATTGACAGGTCCTGCTTATTTCCCCAGTCATCTTTACCACGCCCTACCTCCTATCTTACTCCTTTCCCCACCTGCCCAGTATACATACCCCTCCGCCCCAGGCTTCCAGATTCTGGCTCCTGTGCTGTTGAGAATGAACACTTGGGAGGCCAGTTCAGCTATTCGCTTGTTTTTTTGTTTCGTTTTGTTTTTTTGAGACAGGGTCTCACTATATAGTTGAGACTGACCTGGAACTTACTATGTAGCCCAGGCTGGTCTCGAACTCACAGTGATCCTCCTATCTCAGCCTCCCCAGTGCTGGGATTACAGGCGTGCGCCACCGCGCCTGGCCAGTTATTCACTTCTTGGTAGGACTCCTGTGCCAGGCAGTTTCCAACCTCAGGGCAAGGCTAATGGCTGCCCTGTGGTTCAGGGTCCTGTCCTGCCTGCCTTCCTCTCCCAGCATTCTCAGAGCACATATATATACACAGCAAAGAGCTCCTTGATATTATTTGATAAAGTCCTTAAGCCCACCAGTGTTTTTGTTTTGTTGTGGTATGGAGATCAAACCCCTGGGGTGTTCCCCAATCCCCACTCTTCTCCCCCACCAACTCTTTTTTTGAGACAGAGCCTTGCTAAATTTTCCAGGTGGGATTTGAATTTGAGGTCCTCTTGCCTCAGCCTCCCTCAGTAATGGGATTACAGGCCTGAACTACCACTCCTGGCTAATCCCACCAGCTTCTTTGAAAGCTTGTCAGCTCTGCCCAAATCACCCTCTCTGCTCCTCCTAACACTCCCCAGTGCTTCTCTGCAGAAAGCCCCTTTCAGAATATCTGTTGCTCACATCCTTCTGTTCTCCTACCACCAGAGACCTCTTTCCACTTGTGGGATACTCATTTGAGGCTACCGGGCCCATTGAAGGAGGATTGCTAAGCCCTGAGGCCCAGGCAGGAGTGGTCATCTCTCTTCCCACCTCCTCGTGTGCACTCTGCCCTTGGTGCTGCTGCCTGTGTGGGGACTGCTCCTCCAGGCTTCTAGGTGTTTCAGGATCTGATTTGGCTTGTTTGCTCCCTGCAGTTTCTTGGTGTCTGTGTGTCCCCTGGGTAGCACAGTGATGGTGACCCAGGGCAGATACATTGAACAGATGATGATCTGAAGCAGGGTTAGGGTGTGGTGAGGCCCACAATGGGTCAAGTCCAACTGTCTCTGAGATGAGGTTTTCTTCGGAGAGGATGCCCTGGTCTGGGAAGATCTTGGGACAGAAGGGGGTGGTACCTCACAGGGGAAAGGCTGTATTGGTGCAGTCCCTCTGGGTTGGGGCTTCCTGCCTCTGTCCTTGTCCTCACTCCCCTCCCCCACCTCTCCCTTGTGGGACCGCAGGTAGGTCCCTGTCCCTGAACCACCTGTGTCCCCCACAACTCCCAGCTCATTGAAGAAAGGGCTCTCCAATCACAGCCACACTAGCCTTGTCTTCCTCCCCTCTGAGCTGCAGGTCACAGAGCCTGTGTGTGTGCACTTGTTGGGGAGTCAGGGGGCCAACACAGAAGGCTGGCCCTGGCTGGCACGTGTGGACAGCACTTGACAGCCAGCCCTCTCCCTGTTGTGTTTTCAGGTAGGAAGAGAAGCGGAGGAAGGACAGAGTGAAGTGAAGGCAGCTAGAACACAGAGGCCCCTATTTTACCCCCACCTCTGAGCCCCTTCCTGAAGGAGTACGCTTGTTTTCTGATGGTAGGACTTTGAGGGCAAGGCTGTTCCCCTCGTGTGCTGGCTGGTTGCACAAACACAGGCCCCATGATCACTGCATGCCCGCTGTACCTCTGCATGGGGTCTGTGCACTGAGACCGAGTGGCCTTCCCACAAGTGGGGTACAAGGCTGTGGAGCAGGGCCGGGGTCTGCTGGGCCTCCCCTGGAAATGGAGGGCCTCTGCAGGGAAATGGGGACATGGGTCTAGGCCTCCAGTGGCCAAGGTTGTGCTCACTAGTACCCAGCGGGGCAGGGAAAGCAACCTCTGGCATCTCAGGTTTCCCTCTGTCCATTTGATCTCCTGAGCCCACCCTGGCTGTGCATATCTGTGCCCAGGACCAATGGTGGGTGTCTTTACATTTCCCAGGGTTTTGGAGTATATGTGTGCTATATGTGTCCAAATGTCCATGTGTGTAACAGTTATTTGACTCTATTGTGTTTCCTGAGTAAGAAATGAAGCTGGTAGTTTCTATCTTTCTTTCTTTCTTTTTTTTTTTTTTTTGGTTTTTTGAGACAGGGTCTCACTATGTAGTTGAGACTGACCTGGAACTCACTATGTAGCCCAGGCTGGTCTCGAACTCACAGCGATCCTCCTGCCTCTGCCTCCCAAGTGCTGGGAAAATAAAAGTGAAGAATGGGAGAGAAATTGTCTCTGCAGAGCAAACTTGGGCTGAGTAATGAGAAAAAGAGGACAAAAAGAAAGATAAAAGTACACAGCATGGGCTATCGTGGAAAGCTACAATAGCCAACAAATATTTAATTAATATATATTTATAACAAATAATAAAACATCTAAAATTAAATTATTTAAAAGGCATTATCTAAAAAGTATAAATGGTCATTTTCCTCCCCATCTCTGCTTCCATACTTGGAAGCTGGGCTCTTCTCCAGCAAGGGACATTCTAAGTCAGGTCTGCACATTGTGGCTCTGAAGCTCCCCGATACCCACTGGACAAAGTCCGGGCTCCTCACCAGGGACCCCAGCTGGCCTTGGGCTCCTCCCACTGTGCGGGCACTCTTGCCCCCTCTCCTGCATAGGCCACTGTCATGCTAATGCCCAGCTATAGTCCTTGCCTTCCCTCTACCTGCCCAGGCTCAGGTATACAGGGAACCTCAAGGAGTTGGCAGCTGCCCTGTTCCACCTTCCCTTCCGTCCCATGGAGCCCAGTGTCCATGTCCTTGGTGGCCTGACTTGGGTGGCCAGTCCGGAAGCCATTCTATCAAAGAGACAAGTCCATGTGGGCGTGAATGGCTTAGGCACAAACTGTATGCTTTTTCAGTAAAGCGCTAGATAGCAAATATACTTTGTGTGGAATAACTCCTTTTCCTTTTTATAAGCCTTAGACAATGTAAAACCATAGTTTGCCTAAAGTCTGTAAAAAGTCAGGCCTCCAGGCACCCAGTTGGTGTCCTGGTCTAGGATATTTGCAAAGGCCATGGCTCTTGGGAGGGAACTGAGGGCATCATAGCACCTACTTTTTAAACAGGTGCCCAGAAGTCCCAAAGGGAGGGACAGGCCTGCTCTGCCAGTCTCCTGCCATCCAGAATCCACCTGTCCGCTTGGCTCCCTGTGCTGGGCCATGCCCCTGGGGTCCCTCTCCATGGTGATGCCCCTGCCCTGTGTGCTCACATGGAGCCGTGCACTCTTCATTGCGGCAGGAGGTAGGTGCTGAGGAGAGCTTCCTGCTCTGTGGATGTGCCCGTCTGCTGCACCTGTGCTGGCCCTCACCACTTGAGCACCCTTTCACCCACCCCGGCCCACCTGCCAAGTCCTCATGCAGGCCACCATGCTGCTCCTTCCCAAGGGTTACCTGTGCACCCTCCTTGCTTTGGTGGGACTCTTGTCCTGGCCTGGGGCCTTTCCCCTGCCAATACCCCAGAGCTCTGTCCCTTCCAGTGTTCCCTGCTCTGGAGCCTGCTCCTTCCTCTGGGCTCCCTATTCTTCACAGTCTGAAACCAAAGAAGAGGCAAGAGGAAGAGACAGGGAGGCAGGGGTATCTGCTTCATGGGGGTGAGTATATAGGGAGGGGCATGGATGGGGCCGGGCCAGGAGCTGGGGTGTCAGGAGAGAGCGAATGCCCTCAGATAGACCTGTCGGGAGCCATTCTACATAATTTTGGGGAAAAAATCATTTCACAATTAAATTACGATTAGCGCTGTCTGAGGTCTCAATGGTCCCATGATGCTGTGATGCTTAAGGGCAAGATGACATCAGCACAAGATCCTTGTGAACTGAGAATTATCACCATGCTCTGAGGCATCTAATCCTCCCTATAAATCAACCCAATAAATAGCAGCAGGGTCCGAGTGTCTTGGTCTTCCGCTCACTCTCTGGCACTGATTCCTGGCCCCCCCAACCTCCCCCTATAACTTGAAATTATGAGTCTTTATTGTCTTTTTTCTTTAGCCCTCGATGTATCCCTTTCTAGGCAGTCAGAGGATTGATCGACCTCTGATATATACCCACATCTGTACATGTTTTACAGATGGTCCAGTCTTAAAAAGACCATAACCTTGGGCTGGGGATTTAGTTCACTGGTTCTGCTACCTGCCTTGCAAGTGCAAGGACCCGACTTTGATCCTCGGTACCAAAAAACAAACAAACAAAAAACCAAACTATAACCTTTATGACAATTTCGATGAATTTATCCATTGAGTTCCTTATTTCTAACTTTGAACAAAAATTATAATAAAGATATTACAAATGGCATCTCTAAAAACAAAAAAAGGAGAATCTCAGATAAAGTATAATAGCATTCAACAAAGAAACTACAGGGCTGGGGATATAGCTCAGTGGTGCCATGCCTGCCTGGCAAGTGCAAAGTCGTGAGTCTGGTCCCTGTTACAGAGAAAAAAAAAAAAAAAAAGAAAGAAAGAAAGAAAAGAAAAATAAGACTATAAGCCACTGGGATAAATACTGACCCAGCAGGACACAGAAAAGAATGGCAGGCATTGCCAAATGTGGTGGCACAGGCCGGTAATCCCTCTGATCTGGAGGCTGAGACTGGAAGATCTCTACAAATTCAAGGTCAGCCTGGGCTAAATAGCAAGACCTTGTCTCAAAAGAACAAAACAAACAAAAACAAAAACAAAAAATAAAAGAATGGCAGGTGGAGCAGCAGAGCCACACTGTGAGTGGCCTGGAGCAATGGAGGGCCTTACCCACCTGGTGGCTACAGGATATAAATTGTAAAGACACAGCTGCCATGAGCTCTGGACAGATACAGTATGAGAGCCTCGACAGACTCACAGGATCTATAACTGTAAGGGTTTTCCCTACGAGGGTATGAAGTGAGACACACTGGCAGCCCTAAGAGTTGAAAGAGAAAGTTGTGCACCAATGCCCAGAGGCCGAGCAGGTCAGTCCCAGCCACACATCCGTGCTGATATGATGATGAGTCACAGCACTGACCTGAACGCATCTGTCCCTGCTGTGCTGGACACTGGGACACACATAAAAGGAAGGACAGAACACCTTGTGGTTGCCCTCAGTGACCTACAAGGGTCCTGCAAGGTGGGTAGGAAGTCAAGAGAGGGTACTGCAAAGGGAGAGCACTTGGCTAGAAGGGCCTTGCCACACTGATACTGGGCCTCCTGCTCTAAAGCTCTACGACCACCAGAGGGCGCTGGGTCAGAAAGGCTGCAACAGTTTGGGATGGGAAAAGCAAGAGAAACACAACCTCAAACAATTGAAGGGGTCACAGCCAATTTGTTCATGTTGAGAAACTACTTGGAATTTTTTTTTTTTTGTACCAGGCATTAAACTCAGGACCTTGTGCTTGCAAGGCAGGTGCTGTGCTATTGAGCTAAATCCCTAGCCCCTGACTACTTTGAATTTTTAAAATTATTTTCAAACTACAAGTGAGAATAATCTACTAGTATTTATTCCATGTTAATTTCTTTGTGTTGTTGTTTTGTTGTTGTTGTTTGTTTTGTTTTGAGACAGGATTTCACTATACAGTTCAAGGTGGCCTTGACCTCACTATATAGCCCAGGCTGTCCTCAAACTCACAGCTATCCTTCTGCCTCAGCCTCCCTGAGTGCTGGGATCACAGGTGTGTGCTGCTATGTTAATTTCTTAGTAAGCCTTCCTTAAAACATCTCCACTACAATCTATGTCTATTGCTTTAAGAAACAAAAACTTAAAAGTGGTCTGTTTCCAAGATAAAGTCTTTAGCTCTGAGTGAAAAACTACATGCCTGAGGATGGGACTGAGGTCTGAGGTCATGCATTTAAAAAGATCTCTAAACAAAGGGGGAAGGAAGTCAATAAAGTATGGCATTTACTGTGCTAACTCTGACCTAAAAAAAAAAAAAAAAAAAGTACTTGCAGTGAAGAAGCTGCCCCCTGAAGTTTAACCATTTACTTTTTTTTTTTTAATACCAGAGTTCACACTTGGGACCTTGTGTTTTCAGCCACCATTTGCTTTTAAAACCCAAACAAGGGCTGGGGATTTAGCTCAGTGTTTCTGCTGCCTGCCTCGCAAGCGCATGGATCCGAGTTCAATCCCCCCGACCCTGTACCAAAAATAAATAAATAAATAAACCCCACACAATGTTTACAGAAGGAGCAGGCTAAGGGCTAAGGACCCAGAGTACTCAACTGTGAAGAAAGAGGAGGAAACCATACTGGAGCCAGGGGAGGGAGCAACTACTGTGCTCTAGGGTTTAAACTGCTCTTTGTGTAGGGGCCTCCATGGCTTCTTTTACTATCTCTGAAAAAAGTTTTTTTGCTCTTTGTAGCCACGCTGGGTGCATTAGTCTGTTTGTTAGGCTGGCACCCATTCTTGCAAGATTGAGAAATACAAAAACCTTGCTTTGCTTTCCTAGTTTTCCATCTGATCTGCCTGTTGTCTATGATCAAAGGTGAGGGGTTTGTTCCTCAACAATTCCCATAAGAAGAAAAGGTATTTTCAGGAGAGCCACACTAGAAGCAACAAGATACAGAATTACAACAGAAAGGTGAGTTAGACGGATTGAGGGAAATAACACAATGTAGCAAAAGAACAGAACCAACTGGAAGAAAATACATAAATGGGCAGAGAAAGATGAAGCAGATACTTCTAGGTGGTTCTTGTGAAGAAAAGAACTTGCAAAGGGACAATGCAGGAGCCCAGTCCTTCACACAGAATGCGATGAAACTTCTTGGCTGTGAGCCTGGAGCTGTAAGTTAAAATCACACCTATCAAGAAAGAACTGTTTGAAACACCACCTGCCAGGCAAGCGCAAGGGCAAGGGCCTGGGCCTGAGTTCAATCCCCGGTACCAAAAGAAAAAAAAAAGAAAGAGGCCACTATGAACACTCAGAGTTATATAGGACTAATCTTAAGGCACAGCACTGAGCAAGACAGTGATACCCGAAGTGGTACACATATCATGATTCATTCAAGTGAAGCCCAAAGTGGATAGGACCATGGAGATGCCGTAGGAGGCAGCATGGTGAAAGGGGAGAGCCCAGACTGGGTTGAGCTGCCATACTGTAGGCAAATGACTATCTGCCTGAAACTCAAGACTGGGCTGGAGTTCACTCAAGGTAAATTACATGCTCATGTGCACACTGTGGGGAACTGTCTGGCTGTTGAGGGACTGCTTTCCATCTCAGCATGAGTGGGGCCTGACAAGTGTACTGAATTAGTGGACAAATGGACAATGGATGTACATGACAAAAGTTACCAACTGCTAGATCTCTGCTGAAGGTGACCCACCAGCTGCCAGGCTCCGACCACGGAGCTTGAGGCCTCTGCCGAAGCAGTCACACTGGACTGCACGAGGCGTAGTGGCAGCCAACTAGCCACACAGTGTAGCTGGCTGAACTCCACCTGCCATGACCAGGACACAGAGGGACAGCTCTCCCAAATGGGTGAAAGGTTCCCCCCCCCCGCTCTGCCTTCCAACTGAAGCATGTACAGTCACACCACAGACACTTAAGAGGAGGCTGGAGATCCTACAGACTCCTTTGCTTCTCTGATCCCCACCTGGAATCTCTCCTGAAAAAGCATATCCACTCATGGTCACAGTAAACTGAGGATATGCAGAGAACAGTGACAAAACATAAGGGCCTTAGTACCTGAGTGGGCTCAGTTCACAACTGTAGATAGGACCTCACCAAGCTTCAATCCACCATGAGATCCACTCATGTGGTGGGAGACGGCTCCAGCACAGCTCCTGGCCAAATCCGAGACCTGAGGACAGATCATTTTAAGGACAAGTTAAAAGCACTGAGTTCTTTTCTTTTTTCTTTCAGGGCTAGGGATTGAACACAGGTGTGAGCTGTGCTTAGAGCTTAGTGGTGATGAACCTACCGCACATATGGTAGCGGGCTGTATCACTGAAAGCTCTAAAAGGTTTGCCATCACTCCGAGAGCCTAGATGCTCTCCTCAGGTGTACACAGCCAGGCCCAGGGGGCAGACAGTTGACGGGCCACCTATCCTTATCCAGGCAAAGTCCAGAAAGGTGTGACACTTCTGGATTCAACAGCAGGAGCATTCCTGCCATCCTTCGGCCAAGCTGAGGATACAGATGCTGTTAAAGTGACGCTCAGACTTAAAATTGTCTGTCGCGACACTTCAGAACCAGCCTTCGGGCAGGACACTTAGCCTTTCCGGGGACTTTTTCTCCTTCGACTAGGAGGGCCTGCCTTGGGAAGTCATGGCGCGTGGATGCTGAGGGCTCTGTGGGACCCCAAAGGCCCAGCCCGCCACGGCTGGGAGTGAGTCGGGCGCCGCGGGACGACCCGGGGCCCCAAAAGCAAGACCACAGAAACCCGGCCGGGTCTCTTCAGACTGCAGCAGCAGGACATGTCCTGTACCCGCGGAGCCCAACCGGAGGCGTCGGTCCGGCGCCGTAAGCCCCGCCCCACGCTGCGAGCACTTCCGGGCGCTCTAGGAACCCCGGAGGACCTGCTCCGGGTAACCATTGGCTCATAGGACCGACGGGAGGGATCCGCTCAGGGGCCAGCTCGGGGATCAGTGAGCAGACCCAGCTCGAGGACCGGCTCTGCTAGGCGCTGATCTCAGGCGAGCACAGGCCCAGCCCTCCGGAGCTGTCCTCGGTGCTGGCCGGACTCGGCCTGAGTATGAGCAGGGGGAACATGGGGACAGCAAGAAGGGCCTTGGCAAGGCACAGGAACCTGATTCCACTTTGACGGTTAAGATCAGTGGTCGAGGCCGGGGATTTAGCCCAGCGGTTCCGCCGCCTTCCTTGCAAGCACAAGGACCGGAGTTCGATTCCTGGTACAAAAAAAAAAAAAGATCAGTGGTCCAGCTGGGCATGGTGGTGCACACCTGTAATCCCAGCACTAGGGAGGCTAAGGCAGGAGGATCGCTGTGAGTTCAAGACCAGCATGGGCTACAGAATGAGTTCCAGGTCAGTCTCAACTATATAGTGAGACCCCTGTCTCAA